GTGGGCCCCCTGGTGGCCCTCCGACGCCAACTCCATATATTGGCTTTCGGGGAGAAAAAAATCAGAGAGAAGAAATCATCGCGTTTTACGATACAGAGCCGCCGCCAAGCCCTAATCTCTCTCGGGAGGGCTGATCTGGAGTCTGTTCAGGGCTCCGGAGAGGGGGATTCGTCGCCGTCGTCATCATCAACCATCCTCCATTATAGCCGAGGGTCCAATAACTGTCGGATATATAAGTTCCCCGTCAGATACCCTAATAACCGACGGGTCACCGTCGGCTATCTCCCGTCGGCCTTGTTTTGTCGGCCATTACACATATATCCGATGGTACCGTTAGATAATATCTTTCCCAACGGTAATAGGCTAACAGTTAACCGTTAGACATAAATTGATCATCAGAAGCTCGACGACACTTATAGCCGATGGTTCCTCGTCGGATATTTATGTTCCTGCGGTTATTGCCCCCCGTCAATTTTCTTAATAGGCGACGGTATATTTGACTGTCAAGGTTATTTATAACCGAGAGGAGTGCCAAACCGTCAGTTTATATGATTACTGATGGTGCATAGAACCCTTCGGGGATTCCTTTAGTTGAGAATTTTCTAGCACCATCAATTGTATAAATTCACCAATGTTCTGAAGTTCCTGTGGTCATATTGTGTACCCAAGATGTTTGTTGCACTGTAGGAAATAAGTCACCCTTACAAATTGCTTACTAAGAAATTGTGATTCATGACGATAGTATTTCAAAATATTGGCTTTTCAAATACATCTCAAAATCACACAACTAAACATGATCAAAGAAAATATATTTTATTTAGCATAACAACAAGAAGTATAACATGTCTAATGAGTTGAATCAATATTACATTGGCCATACTGACGCATCTAAGAAGTGTCAAATGAAAAACAAAATAGTGAGTAAGATATAATGGTCCAAACATTGTGCATAAGCTAAATTGTCCATGAACTTCATAACTTCACTTGGTTGCAGGACTCGAAGATCATCGGACTCATCACCATTATCGTCGTCTTGATCGTAATGCCCATCGCCATATATATAATCTCCCACATTGCCATAGGTACCATTGTCATCATTAGTATCATAGCATTATCACAACTCAATTTATCTCCAATATGACTTACCAATACCTAAGAAACTATAAGACTTGTTATAAGAGAGATGAAAAATGATATAATGCAGCTGACATTTAATTGAGCTAAAAGGAACAAACTTGTTCAGGAATCATCTACACATTGACATAGAAATCACATCTTAGTAAGAATTATTAGTGTTACACCAGTACTTCAATCCTTTTCCAACCATACGTCTTGCAAATGGAAACTGAAAAGTAAAAATGAACAAAAATAAAATGACTATTGTTTTGCACCTTTTATGCACAGGGTTATACAGACTAGTACTTCTAGATCTTTGAATACAATTCACTACTATTTGTGATAACTTGCTTTAGTAATCAACTCTACAAGGTAACCAAGAGGAATGGTTTATCAACTTAAAGTAAAGAGTAAGTAAATCTAAAATCCACATCAATGCCTATGTGTTCATAAATCATTATATGGAGAACTAAAATGCCAAGGCGACACATACAACATGATTCAGGAACAAGATAAGATGGCAAATCTACCATCAGTTAAAGAAAAATCTGGATATGTGCTATTAAATCGACACAACTTTGAGAAAATATCATGGTAAGATCTTATTGTAGATATATAGAATTGAAAAGAACAATCCATTAGGAAATACACCATTCCACGGGTCATATGTGTCAGTTCATTGCCTCAATTGATGCCTTTTCCCCCTGACCTACACACACATTTCTCGACCCAAAGATATGCACCAGGGCCAGCAAACATAACACACCCACAAGATACTAGAATGTCTTGGAACAAGTAGTTGTACGAAGCTAAACTAGTACTACTATTCTTATGTAGTAGTTTTGCCAGCATAGTTGTGTGAATCGTACATATTTGACATCCTAGCTAGCAAGGATTTGACATTCAGAATCAATCAGACTAGGACCTGGTAGGCTGGGCGTTTTCTCAGTAAAGTCTGCTTATGACTTGGCCTTTGATGCAGTTACTAGAGGAAATGCACAAGCTTCCAGCGCTGCTCCTGATGGCCGTCGAGCGTGTTGGAAGATGATATGGGGGAGCTTTGTCCCGCCGTCTATAAATTTTTTTGCCTGGAGAGCTGCTGTAAACTCCTTGCCTACATGGAAGAATAAGGAGAAGAGAAATCTGGAGGTGTCGAATATGTGTCCAGTGTGTGTTAGGGAAACTGAAGATTGTTTCCATGCTCTCTGTCGATGCCCACTAGCTACCCAACTATGGGACTGCATGTCTGAAGTTTGGCAACTGCCCAAGCAAAAGGTGACAGTGAATACTGGTGTTGAGTGGCTGCTTGATGCTCTACATCCACTAGGGGAGATGGATCGTGCAAAGTTGCTGTTGACTCTGTGGCGCTGCTGGCATAACAGGAACGAGGTGGTGCACAACAAAACTCCGGCCCCGATGACCGCCTCTCGCCGTTTTCTCTGTGAATATTTGGATTCTCTGATTTTTTTCAATACAGAGAACGACCCATGGATCATGCAAATGTAAAGAAGTGGTCTCTTTGAGTACTAGAACAGTACCGTTTCAGGCTATTTCCAGCAAGGCACCCACTGTTAAATGGTCTCCTCCTTTGGCGGGCTGGGCGAAACTAAACACGGATGGATCATGGACGGAGGAAGGAAGTGCAGGAGCTGGTATGTTATTAAGAGATCATCTGGCCAACATCATTTTCTCGTCCTGTCGCCAACTCTTCCAATGTCGAGACACACTAGAATCTGAACTATGTGCGGTCATGGAGGGTTTATCAATTTCAATCCAGAGATCGGACTTGCCAATACACATGGAGATGGATTCACTGTCAGCGGTTAACTTGGTGAATGGAATAGGAACAGATAGGTCTGTTTATGCTTTGTTGGTTGCAGAGATCAAACATTTGATGTCTCTTCGTCGGACTTGTGTTACTCATATTGGTCGAAGTCAAAATGTGGCTAGTGATTTTTTAGTAAAATCTGCTAGAACTGAACATAGAACCGTAGTCTGGATGGATTCAGGCCCCCCAGAAGTCGTTGATTTTTGTAAGGAGGACTGTATGATGAGCCATGAGTAATACAAGTTTTCTACCTGCAAAAAAAAAATCTTAGATTGCAGATAAGTACTACTCCAAAATTACTGGTGAGTAATTGGTACGATGGAACCAAAGAGGTGGTACGTAAGTGCAACTACCAAAATTTGGCCATCTCACCGGTGGATGGGATCTGCTTTGACAATGATTCGTAGAAAATCCAGATGAATGGAAACATATCTACTCCAGCATGTCTGAATTAAGAAAAAGCAGATGGATGGGATTTGATTATGGTGATACCTGATACGGTACCTCTTCGATTGGAAGGATCAAACTTCTGGCTGGGTAGGGAGAAGACCTTTCCTCGGGCGGCTGTTCAACTAGAGATGTGGATCTCTCGCCTCCTTTACCCAGAACATCAGCCCACGGCGCCGGCCGCCCATTAGCACGCCCCACCGCTCAGCCATCAGCCTTGCGCCCCTGCCCCCCGCTCGCCCATCAGCCCGTGCTGCCGCCGCTCCCACAACAGCATGCGTAGCCCTCGCCGTTTTCCCCACCACCAGTCGCCATACTTTGCCGCATGAATACAAAAAAAAGAGATCAAGGCGAGGGGAGAAAGGAAGTCCCGGGGAGACAGAGGAAAGGAGGCACTGACCTAGCACCGTAACTTGCCGAGTGCTGTCGGTCGCTGCCACAACGGGTGAGAGACGGGATCTGGGTGGAGAACTGCTCTAGGCTCCAATCGAGAGGTGAGTGGGAATGGGGCTAATCTGGAGCTGGGCGGTGGCAAGGTTCACGACGGCCCAGTGGGTGGTTAGAGGAAGTTGAGATCGTGGCTTCGTGCCGCGTGGGCTATTTCGATTCTTTTTCCTTCGCGCGTGTTTTTTTTTTCAATTGGTTTTCCTTTTTCGAGAAGAAAAAAGTATAGTTTTCACCCCAAATCCCTATCAATGTATCCATAACCCCCAAAAGTTAATTTTGGTATGATTTTAACCCTGAAAATGTCAAAACCGTTTTAATCAAACCCTAATGGTTTATTGTCACATCAGAAGCGGTTTTGCAATTTGGATTGTGATTTGGCGCATATGTGTTGGTGACGTGGCAGTTGGTCGAGAGGTTAAGTTCTAGTGTTCGCCTTGTTCCCCTGTTCGCCCAAAGCAGAAGCACCGCAGCCACCGTCGTCGCTGCCGCCGCCGCCACACCCCCAGCACCTTCTCCGTCGACCGCCGCCGTCGACTGCCGCCGTCAATCTTTGGCCCCTGGCCGTCGATTTCGCATGGGATAAAGCAAGCGTGCGGCCGCCCATCAAGTTGTTAGGGCTACGCCGCCGTCGACGGCGGTTGGGGCGCCGTCGTCGACCGTGGCAACTCCATCTCCATTGGATTGAAGCTATGGCTGCAGGTATGTTCGTCCGTCAAGCTGTTCTTCCTGCTTCGTGGCAACATGTGTGGTTGTTCCTGATGTTGTTCTTATATATCAAAAAATGCTCTATTTTGTGGATGATCGCCAGATGTTTTTGGAAGAAAGTAGGTTCTTTTATATAGATACATTGATGATTGGGTTGAAATAACTGAGCATAGCGATTCTGACTGCATTTTGGCCAGGCGAATAGGCGATAGTGGTAACTATGATTTATACTAAATTTTGGTTGATCATGTGGAGTGTGTTAACTCTGAATTTGACTGAAGAAATGTGAACTTTGTATGTAACTGAATATTTGCACTTTCTTAGTTACTTGCACGTCGAATCTGCATTTAACTTTGTATTTGAGAGGAAAGATGGTCTGAATATTTGGAATCTGTCAGTTATTTGCGCTATATTTTGACTGAATATTTGGACTATACAGCTAACCAGAAATTTCTCTGAATTTGCAGCTTCTTTGGATCCTCCCGATCGACTTGATTACATGTATGTGAGATTCCATTACTTCGGCTATTTTGTGAGGAAGGATGGACAGGTTGATTACCCAGGAGAGATACAAGCAGAGAATTTGGAACTATTTACTGTCACTGAAAATGCACAACATGTGCTGCTTGCTGTACATATAGTCAGATTGCAAAAGATTGTACTGTGTAAGCCAGTACTGAAGATAGCATATTTTCCTTCAGTTGGTCTACAGTCACATAGCAAATCAGATAGCAAAATATTTGTACTTTGTAAGCCAGTACTGAACATAATTCGTTGGTCTACAGTCACATACAAACATGTCTGAACATACTGGCACATCTTTCTCAACATACTGCCACGTCTCTCTAAATCTTTCAAAAGATCATGCCACATTACAGTACCAATTCATTTCATAACAAAACAGAAGAAAGCAACCACCAAGCAGATTACAAGATGCTACCACATCTTTCTAAATCTTTCCAATTTCCTATGCATTTCTTCTTCTGCTTCTGCTGCTTGCTTGAACTGCATCTCATGCACAAAAGACCTCATGCCCATCTCCACATCTACAGCCTTATCCATGCGAGCTTCAACTTAGATTCGAGATTCTGCCAACTGTTTCTTCTCTTTTTTCAGATGATACACAGTATCACGCAAGTCACCGACCAGCTAATTCAGAAATGGAGTATTTGGATCGTCATGCCACTCAAAGAACCTGCAGTCCACACCCTGACATTGCATTGAACTCATCAAACAATGGAAAGACCTCCCAGAAAAATCAGTTCCAAAAAGAACAGCAAGAACCTTCGATTTCCGCAATTGTAGCACCTGCGCCCTGGGTTCTTCACACTCCAGGAAATCCATCCGGGTGCTTCCACTCTGCAGCCGCGCAAGTTTTGGGGCTCGTATTGTAGCGAACCCTGCCGATATGGCATGGGCGATTGCGCTGCCGCCGCCGTACCAGTGGAATATGACGTGCGGCCGGCGGAGGAGCTCGCTGAGAAGCTTGCGGGTGAGGTCATGGAGTGGAGCCGATTCAAGAGCACGACCGTGATTGGGATTTAAGGTTCGAACGAGATGGCAGAGAACTTGGGGAATTTTTGTCCGTGGCTGCTAGTTCGAGCGAGAGTAGTGTGTGCTGAGAGCGACCCTTTGACACGCCAGCGCCAAGTAATCGAGGTAAACGAAAACCACCTTGCAAAACCGCTTCTGATGTGACAATAAATCATTCAGGATTTTATTAAAACGGTTTTGACATTTTCAGGGTTGAAATCATACCAAAATTGACTTTGGGGGGTTATGGGATTCATTGAGAAGGATTTGGGGGTGAAAACTATACTTCTTTCTTTCGAGAATCATCTCGCGTGTCGGTTGAAACTTTCATCCCGCGCATGTTGACCACACTTAAAAATGTACTGTATCCCTAAATACACTTACGAATTTATACACATTGAAATATGTGTTGCAGAATTTTAAACTCAATAATGTGTGGATGGGGACTGACAAAGTGCACTCTTTTTCTCTCAAAAGGAGGATTAGCACTGGCCTCTGCATGCACCCAACCACTTTATTAATTATTTATCAAAATCTTACAAATTAATACATCAATAAGTCTTTAGCCGAGGACGACCTGGGCCTCATCGGCTGCCGCCGCCACCAACCACGCCCAGTCGCACCGCCCTCCTCCAGTCATTGGTCCCGACCGGCACTACCAACATCGTCGCCGGGATCCGGCCGCCGCACCCATTGATCGAATTAGGAGCAACACCCCCACGATTCAGGGTATCCTGTGCCCTCAAAGACCGCTAGAGGAAGAGCAGTACCTGCGCCACCGCCGTTGCACGCACGGGTTTTGCCTAGTGCCGACCATCGGCGACAACGGAGGGGAGGGGAGGAGGTGGTTCCAGCAGCTAGGAATTGGGTCCTCTCATGTCGCCCGCGCGAGGGGCGACGTGAGACTTGTGAGTCGGGCGTATATGCTCGACATACCTAATAATAAGAGCTACCTTCGCTCACACAAATAAATGTGATACTTGGTTGAGTCCACCTTCATTGCTAAACATACTTTTATCCTTCCTACGTAAATTGAAAAAATTAATCCGAATGATAGATTATCTATCTATTTCACATATCATTAATGAATTGGAATATTTTTATAGTTGGTCTACTATCACCCCTAATCTCAATCAGTGTTGCCTAGATTCCATCATCAATTGGGTTAATATCTCATCTTACTATGTAATTTTTTTAGAAAACTTCCAACCTATTCATCATCAATCATGATAGTACAATGTATATCAGAAATAACAAAAATTGCATGCGGATCCGTAGACCATCTAGCGACAACTACAAAACCTGAAGCGATCCAAAGGCTCGCCGCCGTCACCACGACCACAGCAGCCACTGAAGAAAAGAACGACATATCACCTACTCATCCAAGCTCGACGCGGCTCAATCGCTGATATGCAGATTTGTGGACCTCCAAGGTGGCTCACCAAAACTGAAGTCATTGTTGTTGGACGAATCAGATCTAGGCAACACCCCGAACACACTATCAAACTCAAGATCTAGCACCCGGCACGACTAAGACGCCGAAGGAGCACTAGTAGAAAACAGACCATTAGTACCGGTTTGTAAGGGCCTTTAGTGCCGGTTATGGAACCGGCACTAACGTTTCGGCACTAAAGCCCCCCCCCCTTTAGTACCGGTTCGGCACGAACCGGCGCTAAAGTGCCACCACGTGGCGTGAGCTCGCGCCCTGGTACGGGGGACCTTTAGTACCGGTTGGTGTTATCAACCGGTACTAAAGGTTTTTTTTTGAATTTTTTTTTTGAAAATTTTGGAAAAAAAATTTGATTTTTTTTTATTTTTAATTTTTCTGAATTATTTGATGATTTAGTCTCTAATCACCTCTCCTAACTGCTCAAGTGTGGATCACTCATTCCAAATTATCTAACTTCCCGACCGGTCACCCATCCCTCTCACTACTCCAACTCGAGCACGCTTAACTTTCAGGTTCTATTCTCCTTCGTTTCAGAGTCTGCACTTGTTGTTTTCCTGACAATAGTAAGATGTCAATCCTATTAACCCTCAGGAGTTTAGCTTGAGCATGAAGTCACACATTCCACCGTTTGAGTTTGAAACTATTATTCTAAAAA